AGAGGAGGCTGAGGGGAGACCTCCTGGCCCTCTGCAACTCCCTGCCAGGAGGGGGCAGAGAGGGGGGATGAGTCTCTGGAGCCAAGGCCCCAGCGCCAGGCCCCGAGGGAATGGCCTCAAGCTGCCCAGGGCAGGGTCAGGCTGGCTCTGAGGAAGGATTTCTGTGCAGAAGGGGCTGTTGGGCGTTGGAATGGGCTGCCCAGGGCAGGGGGGGAGTCCCCGGGATCCCTGGGGGGGCTGAAGAGTCGGGCTGAGCCAGCGCTGAGGGGTCTGGTGGGTTGGGAAGGGTCAGGGTGAGGTTCATGGTTGGACTGGAGGAGCTTCAAGGGCTTTTCTGACCCAGATGATTCTGTGTGTCTGTGGGGTGCTGTGAGGATGCTCTGCAGCAGCAGCACCCCTGTCCAGTCTGAGTAAAAAAAACCACATCGGGGTTTGCACGAATCCCACCCTCATTCCCCTTCGGTTAATTGTAATTTTGCTGCTGACTCCTTGAAGATTCTGCTGCCGTAGCAAGCTCAGAACAACGCAGCGCGCCCGCGGGACCAGAGGTGCCTCTGAAGGGCCACGAGCGGGTCGTGCCCTGGGCAGCGCAGGACGGCGGGTCCCGCTCTCCCCAAACCCGCGTCCCGGGGATCGCATCTGGGGGGAAACCGCCCCAGAGGCCCAGGCCTGCCCCCGGAGACGGCCCTTTCCTTCGGCCTCCCGCATCCCCTCGGCAGCGGCCCGGGGAGCGGAGCTGGGCCCGCAGCAGCGCGCTGGTGCTGAGCGTCCCCGCCGCGCTGCCAGGGGGGCTGCTCCTGGGCTGCCCGGGCGCCTTTTGGGTCGGGCTTTTTGCCTTCTTTGCTTTTTCCTTCCCCCTCTCCCCCGTGTCCTTTTTTTAAATTTTATTTTATTTTCCCGCACCCCTGCCGTCCTCTCCATGTAGCAAAGCATCAGCAAAGCCGGGGCGCTGCAACGCTTTGGGGCCTACACGCGATGATTAATTGCAACTTCTCCAACTTTCCTCTTCTGGTGTTTGTGCAAGATCAGAAAAGATGAGTCCGTGGGCAAATGTCAGAGGGAACTTGCTCGTTTTTTCCTCTCTCTTGCAAAGCTCTCCCCTCAGCCCGGGGTGCTCACCTAGAGCCAGAGCCAGGGGGGGAGGCTGCTGAGATCTCTTCAGCCCTCACAAGGAAACGCTCAAGCACGGATCATATTGTCCCTCTGTGCTTCTGGAGTCGTGTCTGGTTCTCAGTTGTCACTTTAGATGTTTTTCTGTGTAGCGGGAGCAGTATGTTTAAAGATTCAATTAGTGTTTTGCAAATCAAGCAGTGAAGTTATTTAGTTTAATTATGTTGCATTTAATTAGCAGAGAAAAATCAATGCTGGTTTGTATTTTTCATTGTAAGGAATAGCTAGGCAGCTTCCTACAGGGGAACGTAGGGTAAGCAGTCTGAGTCTGGCTGTGCGAAGTACAGCGTTCAGGCTTTCCAGGACAGCAGCCACCGATTTTGGGGAAGATTCCTGTTTCAAAGGAGTAAAGCTGGTAGCCGTGCTTTCTGGTTTTGATCATTCGATCCTGGTTTGTTCTGGCTTCTGCGCTTCACTGCGAATATGTTCTCCTGTGGTACGGGTTCTGGAGCAGCCTCCAGGGATAAGCAGACTGGCTGCTTGGCAGCCGGCTTTTAAGTGCAGTACGTAGGCATGTTTCCAGCTCTCGGCGCTAAGTTACTGTCTAACAAGTGTGCATCACATCATGGGACAAATGTTACTCCAGAAATACCATAGGTTAATCTGATGCACGATCCCTTACATAGTATCGCAATATAACATTTCGCTTTGGGATTCTGGCTGTGTCTTTTCAATGCTTACTGGTATATTGCTGCAACTGTTTGTCCGGGAAGCGGGTAACTGAGTAAGGAAGGTGTTAGCAGCATATATAGACCTGGGGCCAGCTCTGAAATAATTGCCACTTGTTTATGCTAGAGGTGAATTTGGCTTGGGATTTTAGTAAATGCTGATAGCGCTGTAGACAGTAATTACGGATGTATAAATAAGTGATCACGTTTTGTTTATTCGCGTGCAGTAAATAACCCTGTGAGAATAGTAAATATAACTCCACACCAGCGAAGCAGCGGGAAGAGTTCAAACGCGGGAAGATGACTCTGTAGACACACACAAACGCAGTGTGGTTCCATAAACAATAGAACAGAAAGGCCAAAAATACCATACAAAAATCATACGCTGTGCAACCTAGAGACCCGACCTTGCGACACACTGAACTCCCATTGAAGAACTCAAGACATCATGCGGGATCCATCCCCAGGTCAGTGCTGTAACCGTACAGTTTTGAAGAGGCAGTGGGTGAAGCCTTGATGCGGAGACATTCTATCTCGTGCATGTGTATTATAGTGATGATTTGCTGAACAAGAGAAACTGTTGATCTGGGAAACTGTTCTTTTTTCAACTGCTTGTACTTTCATTTCTTTAAGAAGGGTGTTTAAAAAAAAAAAAAAAGAAATCCAGGCCAAATATACACTGGAGGGAAGGGGGAGGGAAAGAGGGCTGGAAACCAGCTGTTTCAGTGCAGTACAGTCTTGATCACCACTTCTGAGTGTTTGAACTTCTGATTGATACAAACAGTTCAGTTAATAGCGTCACCGCATAAACACGGTCTGTAATACCACAGTAATTCTGGAGTAATATTTGCCATAATGTATACAGTAGCAGAACAAAGGATACAGACTCATAAAACAAATGCCATGAGGTCTAAGGTCTGCATGTTTGTGTACATTTGAATTTATTTTTTCTCTTATGGGAACGGAAATACATGCAAAACCGATGCTGTTGTTATCAGGCAACAGCCTATTTTATTTACAAGCCATCTTGACAAACTTCGGAATGGGCTCGGGCTTTGGTTTGACTCATGTCCATCTAGTCAGGCTGCTGGGAAAAAAAGTGTTGCCTTACAGGGTTAGATCCCTAGAGATCTTAGATACATCTGCTCCCTGGGTCCTTAAATGAAACACCTTGTTGGCATTTAATAAAAAACAATCATAAATGATTAGAGGTAACAGCTACCATCCTGTCCACCAAGGAGGCGTGGACAAGGCTCCCTCCGGAGCCTCTCACTGCTGCTGTTTCATCAACAGAAGGGTCACTGTAGAGCAATTCAGAGCACTGCTTTGGAGTGAAGGGGAGCCATCTGGTAATGTAGAATAAGATGGCATATTTTGTTTTCACTAGTATAAGACCTCCTGTCTTGCTAGGCTCCAGCCAGGTAGCCTTGCAAGTAATTTTTCAAAGCAGAACCCTCATTGACTTGAAGAGAAGGAATGGCATCAAACATTGGGTTTTTTACTCTAGAACTGTGATTTTGCATCTTTACTTTCAGAAAACATTTGCCTCACCTTACTTAGTCTGATAGTTTTGATCTAAAATCCAAAATAGGGATGCCAAGAAAGAGTAGACAAGGTCGCAGATTCTGCTTGGGTTTCCTGTTACCATGGCAATACATGAATTCCTGTATTTATTTACCTGATGGATTATGTGCTCTGGGGAATTGAACTATTCTGCATCATTCAGGGAGAATAAGGTCTGAAACAAAAGCTCTTCCATGAAGCAGGTCCATTCAAGTATGCCCTTTATTAAAACCAAACAACATATGGGTGCCATACTTTGAAGTTAGGTTTTTTTTTAACTTGATGTTTTCAATCTTAATCTTGTAATTTCTTGCAGGGTTTTCATATTCCTTGTGAGCTTGCTTTTTCAATAGCTGTCTGCTGAAGGTTGTTTGAGATAACTGTTTCAAGTGTTAGCTACCTGCAGTGCAGTCAGTTATCTCCGTTCTGCTCAGGACTCAACTGGATGTAGTTATTCCCAGCAGACTGAAAATGCTGTTGTCTTCACCTTTTACTCATGAGCATTTGCCTGATAAGCAAATTCACCTCTGAAGTTTCATCCTTTAGTATTGGTGGTATAAGTCTCTAGGGGTAATCCCAGGAGAACTCTGCTCTTAAGGAAAATAGCAAAATAGAAGAAACCATTCAGGAGGCCAGATTATTCTCATCCTTATAGGAACTTAATGTTTGTCCAGATTCCTCTCTGCCAGTTTATGTGATTCTGAATTGTGCATCTGTGAATGTTTTTGTATTAATGTGAAGTTTCCTGGGGATCTTATTTTGGGGGAGGATATATTTTGAACTGTCAGCATCTTCTGGATTATCCAGTGGAAGTTTTCCTGCATATTCTTTACACCTGTACAGTTTTGTGCAGTTTCTTTTTGTCTGAGCTATGCTTAGGTGAGATACTTGCGGAACTCTTCTCGATTCAGTTACGCATTCACCACTGTACCATGTTCTTCAGTATAAGTGAGGGCTTTAAGGATGAGTCTATGAAATGAAGTAAAAATTCTCTTGTGAAATGTCTTGTCCTGGAATCTGGGAACTAAACTCTTCTAAAGACTCACTTCACAACCCTAAAAGCAATTAGGTTCCAATTCTTCCTTACTTGGGCTTTTAGCACCTACTGTATTTCCTATTATATGCTGCTCAGACAGTGACATCACATGTGTGTTTTACTGTAACTTGTTTAAAAAGCATCAACAATTCAGTCTAGTTTTGTGTTGAGGCAAAATACATGCACAAGATGGTCACTATTTGTGCCATTTTGTAGCAAACACTAAAGAGGAGAATTTTGCCTTTTTTTTTATAAATTGTTGTAGGCTTGACAGGTGTTCTGTTGCATAGCTTCAAGACGAGTGTTCAGAAATGTAGCCTGCGGGATAACTGCTGCAAGATTGAGATGGTCTTAGTAGTTGTAAGAAGGAAGTGGACAAGGAATGGAGAAAAAAGACAGCTGAAGTCTACTGGAATGTGAAGCAGCTGGGTTGTGCCTTAGTCAGTGAAAAAGCAGAAACTGGAAACAATTGCTAAATTTATTTTCAGTGCAAGCAATCGTTTTCCTTGAACCGCAATGACTAAATATATCTATTGGTGTGATTTTTATGTGGTGGTAACTCAAACTGGCTCTTGCTAACTCCTGGCAAGCAGAGAGATGAGTGCGAGTTCACTGTCAGTCAAGATCCTAACACAAACGTCCCTCATCCAGGTCTGTTGCTTCACTTGCAGAGTTTCCTGTTTGTAAGGGACCTGTAGGCTGTCAGCATGGCTTTACTCATTGTGATGTATTGCATGAGTGGAAGAAACTTAGGTATTTGTTTCTAGGGAACGAGTCAATCTGTAACTGCTTTTTCAGGTTTCCTTGGGGTTTTGTCTATCTTTTTGGAGATTCTGAATTGTGGTTGATACATCAGCTGATATCTTATAACTCTGTACGTGCAGATAGACTCTGATGCAAAGGTGCTAGTCTTTTTAAAAAAATACACATTAACGCCTTATTTATTCCAAAGTTGAAAGCCTGTTGGTAGCATTCGCAAAATGAGTTTTCTGTTGACTTACTGTTGATCCTTTGGAAGGAGAGCATTCAATTCAGAAGCTTACAGCATCTTAACTGCAAGTGGAGGATCATGAAGTGTTAACTTTCTAGACTTTGTTTTATAGAAACTAGAGAGATGTTGCATCTTTCCTTGGCAGAGGCATTTGATGGCTAACCAGATTTAATTCAAGCAGTCAGTCAGTATGTGTGTTGCAGGAGATGTCTAGGCAGTTCTCCGTTGGGCTACTGAGAGGTGATAACTGGAATTGTTTCTTACCAGATTTGGAAGATACTTGTACTCCAGCAAAGGTAAGATGATAGACAGCATCTCCTGTGTTTCTGCCAGATAAAACTCCAGAAACTATGTAGTATATTAAAAACAACAAATTACATGTCAGAGCTACAGGTAAGGTGATTTAATAGCTGCCTTCCTCTCTGGTACTCCTCACCACACCCATCATTTTGCATAGTTTAGATACATGTAGGGGATATAACTTGTTCCATTTTCCAAGGCAAATCATCCCAATATTCTTCTGCTGAAACTAGAGATCTGGAGTTACAGAGCTATTGACCTCTGTGTATTGTTGCTTATCAGTGAGGTGAATTGTTCCAGTCTGTATTCTTCCTGTGGAGACTTTACATTATCTGAAGAAAAACCTGTGCATGGAGAGCCATCCTTCAGCTTCTCAAATTTGACATAGTAGGCTTTTCACTCTGAAAACAATTGAAAATTTATTGTGCTATCGGTACCTGAATATTTGGGAAATTCTGCTTTGGTGTTACATCTGTCTTTTTTTCTTTATTAATGTTAGCAAACTATAGGATTCAGCCATTGTCATGGAAGGAGTATTAAAATCACCTAGCTATTGCAAGATTATTAGCTTTGTTATTTTCAGTTTTGTCTAAATAACCAAAGCTTAGCTTTCATGGTGTACAGTTGGGAAATACTGCAGAACGTAATGGGATGAGGGGATGGTGATGGAGAACAGTGTGTCATTCTCAGTGCTTCAGTAGAGATTAGGGGAAAAAAGGAGAAGTGGTTGGAGAAAAACTAGATTTATTCACCTTTGCAAGTTTGAATTTGCAGCCTCAGAACCCCAAGGTGTATGAAAAGGTGACCAGGAAAAGAAAAAGGGACATCGCAAGTGGAGATGTTATGGAATGATTGGAAAGATCAGAAAAGAAGTGAGAGGATGCCCAACCCACAGATGTTAGAAGAGGGAGGAATGGAGGGCTAAGTTGCGTACAAGTAGAGCAGATAGGAAAGGACAGCATGACAGAAAGGGAAAGTGGGCAAGGAGGAGGCTCCCGGCGGCTTTCATGGGCGTCTGTTCCAAGGCAAAGAGACAGAAGATGAATTTCAGCAATCCGGAAAAGCTGCAGGAATCCTGCAGGTTGGGACGTGCTGCCAAAGGAATGTTCTGCAGTTCTGCTATTCACGTTACTGCAGCCTGACAAATTTACAGCTGTACTACCTGACCCATAGCATCCACTCTTAAAAATACATTTCCGATCTCTTCTTATGGTGCGTGACACTGATACCGAGAGAGCAAACAATTTAATCTGTGGGAGAGAGAAATTATGTCTCCACATATTCTGTGAAGCAACCTGAGATAGTTGATGGATCGGATTATTGGTCTCCTTTTATTTGCGTTGCATAGTTCAGTTAAAGCACTTCACCTTTGAAAGTCTCTTGACGTTAAATCTGTGTGCTGTTTTAGTTGCTGCCATAGCTCACCTCCTCTGGAGTTTGTAAGATAATATTTTCATGTTGAGAGCAAGGAAGAGGTGAATAGAAACAAATAAAAGAAAAAGATGGTCTGTATCAGAGCATTCACTTAGTGTTGTGGGAGATGGGATATTGGCAGTGTTTAGGGGAATCAATTCTCC